TTAGTAGTTGGTAGTGGGTTAGTATTTTAAAAATTGTTTGTAGTTGTCTGTCATGTGAAATTAGTTGTCTGGCAATCCATTTGAGTTGTCTGTCACTTCATTTTGAAGTGTTGAAACTTGGTTTGTAGTTGTCTGTCATGTGAAATTAGTTGTCTGGCAAGTCATTTGAGTTGTCTGTCACTTTATTTTGTACTGTTGAAACTTGGTTTGTAGTTGTCTGTCATGTGAAATTAGTTGTCTGGCAAGCCTTTTGAGTTGTCTGTAGAGTATTCAATTCAACCTTTATTACAATACATAAATTGTCTGTATAAGTGTCATAAATATCTGTCTTGGTTATACTTGTCTGTCTACAGGATTTTTGATTTTTGTTACAATCCTCTTATGTTTTAAGGATTTTGGATTTTTGTTACAATCCTCTTATGTTTGTGAAAAGTCTGTAAGAGTGGTGAAGTTGTCTGTCATTTTAAAAATAGATGTCTGTAATTTATATTTACTTGTCTGTGTTAAGTGTTCTAAATGTCTGTCTAAACTTTATTTGTCTGTCTGCAGATCTGGAGAAGTTAATGCTTACAGGTTATGACTACACCAACATGTCGAACAAAAGACTTGAATTTGCTATTGAATTTTGGCGCTTGAAGAAGACTGAAGCATAGAGTGTTGGAGAAATGTATCGATTTTGAACTTCTGATATTTTTAATGTGTATTTTTTTTTTTTACAAACATTACATATTACAGTTGGGGAAATGTGTCAAATATTATACAATGTTGAAGAATTGGATTGGTTTTTTGAACATGTGTAAGTTTTTGCAAACATTACATGTATAATTATCCAGTTATGTGTGTTGATTTTTTGTGTGTCTGGGTACCGTATTGTTTGTATGTGTAAACTTATTGTCTCTGTATAAAACTAATGTCTATCTGATTATTCTATTGTCTGTCTAGATATATGTATTGTCTGTCATTTTTACGAAACATATGCCAAAAATGGTAATTGACAACAAACTAATGCATGTATGTGTATACCTAATGTTAACAATGATAATTCACAACAAACTAATGTTTCAATTCAACCTCTTATTATCAAACATTGCGTTAGTACGAGAAATTAATTAACTTTTCAAAAAATAGGTTTCTTCATACCAACATCGGGGCCTTGAATACAACTGTTTTCTTTCATTTCATCTGTTATTCCAAATGAATATAAATGTTCAAAATAATAAAGTTCCACATTTCAAAGGAATTCCTTTGTTTCCTCCACACTCTTCAATCACCACAAACGAACAGCGTATTGACATCTCTTGTTCCACATGTTTGCATATTCACACTTTGGAACCAAGGGCTTTCCCATGAACAGGTGCTCTGCAAAGGATGCAATCATTGCTCCACATTCTTCGGACCTGTAGACAGACAAGTATAACCAATACAGATATTTACGACACTTATACAGACAATATATGTATTGTAATAAAGGTTGAATTGAATACCCTACAGACAACTCAAAAGGCTTGCCAGACAACTAATTTCACATGACAGACAACTACAAACCCAGTTCCAACAGTTCAAAATGAAGTGACAGACAACTCAAATGGCTTGCCAGAAAACTAATTTCACATGACAGACAACTACAAACCTAGTTCCAACAATTCAAAATGAAGTGACAGACAACTCAAATGGCTTGCCAGACAACTACTTTCACATGACAGACAACTACAAACCTAGTTCCAACAGTTCAAAATGAAGTGACAGAAAACTCAAATGGCTTGCCAGACAACTAATTTCACATGACAGACAACTACAAACAATTTTTAAACTACTAACCCATTACCAACTACTACGAGAAATCAACCATATATGCACTTCAAGTAATACACCAGACAACAATATGCACAATTTAAAGTTGGAACTTATACTAGTAAAACAAAAATCCAAAATCCTTAAAACATAAGATTTGTTTATTGTAATAAAGGTTGAATTGAATACCCTACAGACAACTCAAAAGGCTTGCCAGACAACTAATTTCACATGACAGACAACTATAAACCTAGTTCCAACAGTTCAAAATGAAGTGACAGACAACTCGAATGGCTTGCCAGAAAACTAATTTCACATGACAGACAACTACAAACCTAGTTCCAACAATTCAAAATGAAGTGATAGACAACTCAAATGGCTTGCCAGACAACTACTTTCACATGACAGACAACTACAAACCTAGTTCCAACAGTTCAAAATGAAGTGACAGACAACTCAAATGGCTTGCCAGACAACTAATTTCACATGACAGACAACTACAAACAATTTTTAAACTACTAACCCATTACCAACTACTAAGAGAAATCAACCATATATGCACTTCAAGTAATACACCAGACAACAATATGCACAATTTAAAGTTGGAACTTATACTAGTAAAACAAAAATCCAAAATCCTTAAAACATAAGATTTGTGTATTGTAATAAAGGTTGAATTGAATACCCTACAGACAACTCAAAAGGCTTGCCAGTCAACTAATTTCACATGACAGGCAACTACAAACCTAGTTCCAACAGTTTAAAATGAAGTCACAAACAACTCAAATGGCTTGCCAGACAACTAATTTCACATGACAGACAACTACAAACCAAGCTTCAACAGTACAAAATAAAGTGACAGACAACTCAAATGGCTTGCCAGACAACTAATTTCACATGACAGACAACTACAAACCAAGTTTCAACAGTTCAAAAAGAAGTGACAGACAACTCAAATGGATTGCCAGACAACTAATTTCACATGACAGACAACTACAAACCTAGTTGCAACAGTTCAAAATGAAGTAACAAACAACTCAAATGGCTTGCCAGACAACTAATTTCACATGACAGACAACTGCAAACAATTTTTAAATAAGCAATCCATTTTTTTGAAAAACATGTAACACATTCTTAACATATTTTCTTCATTAAAGTTCGATTATTATTTTTCACTATCTTGTGATGTAAGCTCATTGGGACATGGTTTATTAATTAATATAGTTTGATGATTTTCTTTAATGACCCCATAATTTTACGGATTTTAGTCAGTTTATTAGATTATGTCGAATTCAGTGTTACTAGACGGACACTTAGTTTTGAAGACTTTTTAAAACAAAAGGCAATTTACATCAGAAATACTCCCTTCGTCCATTCAAATTTATTTTTATTTCCCTATTTTTTTAAAAAAAATTTACCATTTCCGCTTTTAATTAATTAAACTGTGGTTCTCATTGTTTCTTTTTCCTTTAGACAAACATTAACCACACAATTTTTATTTTATTATGGTTACATGTCAGTAAAATTAAGAAGATATAGTAGATAAAGAGATAGTAAGATAGAATATATTTTTAGCACTATAGCATTGACTTGGAGACAGTAACGCCTCCAAACCACTACTTTCGAGTCTGATATCGCAAAAACACGGCTAATAAAAATATTGTGTGTGTGTGTAGGGAACGGTTCCAGTGAGAACCATGCTTAACGTGAGAACGTGATAACCATGCACTTTTAACACAATTTGGTGCACTATGAACATCATATATTACACTTTTCAAATTTGGTCAAAATATTCCAACATCAAATAAATGTGGTGGCGGATTCGTAAATACTTTGTCAACACGAAAATGTGCAACATATACACGATATTGTGCAGTACACTTGCTTAAAAGTGGAGTTCTCACGTTCTCACGTTAAGAGTTGTTCTCATTTGAACAAAAAACTATACATACATACATACATACATACATACGTACGTACGTACGTACGTACGTACGTACGTATGTATGTATGTATGTATGTTTTTTTTTTTTTTTTTTTTTTTTTTTTTAAACATGGAATTAAATCATTAATAAACCCAAGATTACAAACCATAGAACAATACATTGTACTCCGTAGTAGTTTTCCATAGTAGCATAAATATGTCTAAATTAGTATTCACAAATTAAAAAGAGCCATTATGACTGCCGCCTGAAATCAAACATTCAAAGGTACAACTTATTATAATTATATCAAAAGCCAACGAAGACGGCAAAGATAGGCCACAAAAAGCGCACACTTAAGTTACAGGAATTTGGGGAGCAAACATTTTTGTCATTCATCATCACCCCATAGCATACTTCTGAGTCCAGCTCCGAGCCGTGGTCTCGTATTTGGCCCGGTCAGTCTTGTACATGTGAGCAATTTCTGGCACAAGCGGATCATCCGGGTTTGGATCAGTCTCGTATTTTTTTTTTTTTTTTTTTTTTTTTTTTTTAAACATGGAATTAAATCATTAATAAACCCAAGATTACAAACCATAGAACAATACATTGTACTCCGTAGTAGTTTTCCATAGTAGCATAAATATGTCTAAATTAGTATTCACAAATTAAAAAGAGCCATTATGACTGCCGCCTGAAATCAAACATTCAAAGGTACAACTTATTATAATTATATCAAAAGCCAACGAAGACGGCAAAGATAGGCCACAAAAAGCGCACACTTAAGTTACAGGAATTTGGGGAGCAAACATTTTTGTCATTCATCATCACCCCATAGCATACTTCTGAGTCCAGCTCCGAGCCGTGGTCTCGTATTTGGCCCGGTCAGTCTTGTACATGTATGTATGTATGTATGTATGTATGTATGTATGTATGTATGTATGTATGTATGTATGTATGTATGTATGTATGTATGTATGTATGTATGTATGTATGTATAGTTTTTGGATCAAATGAGAATCATGCTTAACGTGAGAACATGAGAACAGATCTCAGCCATCCAAAATCAATAATCATCTACGAACAAATAAATGGTAGTGGGGGATATTTTGGTCTTCTTCTATTGTGGCAACTAGATTTTCACCCGTGCTTCGCACGGGATGCAGTTAGTAAGTAATAAATAATCTGAGAATATAACGAAATGTTGTTGAAAATATAGATCAACGTATTTATTGTTTTTAACAAATGTAAATGAAGATTTAAAAAAAATTACAAATTATTATATACTTCCTTGTAAACCACATTTATAGTCTTCTTGGCCGGTTTTCCATCATCATCACATATAACAAACTTCAATCCAGATGGAGACGTCACTCTTGAGACCGCGACATAAAGTTGTCCATGGGTGAAAACCGGACGACGTAAGAAAACACCAACCCTCTCCAAAGACTGCCCCTGACTCTTATTAATGGTCATCGCGTAACTAAGCATCAAAGGGAACTCTCTACGCTGAATTGTGAACGGTAGCTTTAGGTCGGATGGAGTCAAGCTAAGCTTCGGAATGAGAAATTTTTGTCCTGCGTTTGTTCCAGACATCATCTGAGCCTCGAGAAAATGAGTTCCAAGTTTAGTGACGATGAGGCGTGTGCCATTACACAATTCGGAGGAATGATCTATATTCCTCATTAGCATCACAGATGCACCCACTTTCAGCTTCAGTTCATGGCTTGGCACACCAGAGCATTTAATGGTATTCAGAAATTCTGGAGAGTGGATCTCTTGAAGGAGTGCACTGTCTGAGTCAGAAGAAGATGCTGAATTTGAGCTTAAGTATGTCTTTACCTCTCCTAGAGTCAATCCCAACATGTAATCGTTGATCATGTCACGTTCATCAATAGTTGGCGCAAGAATTGCCCTGGAATTCAAATAAGAAACATCATTACAGTGCATTTCAAAATCGGGATAGGTGATCTTAACAATAGCTTCAATTGGATCATCCGCCATAGGAGCAATAAATTCTTCAGGGATGTCAACCATGGATTCTCCATCATCTCCATCCCCCAGGACTCCATCTCCAATCTTCAATATCCACTCGGCAAAGTTTTGAATCTCTATTGTGTAAGATGTTCCTCCCACGCGCCCGAGTCTCATATTCTTTGTCAACTTCAACACCCTGCAGTATGACCACAAAAATGATGAATTCAAAGCCGCTTGCACAATGTCTTGTCTTGTGCCCTTTGGAATGACAGGCAATATTTGTCTGAAGTCCCCGCCAAATACGACTGTCTTCCCACCAAAGGGCATGGTAGAATCACAATCATGCGAGTAGCGAAGGACATCTCTCATGCTACGATCAAGTGCTTCAAAGCAATACCTGCAGATCATTTTACAACTAATTAAATCATTTTGAAATGATGTAATTTGTGCATTAATTTTTCATCAAACATGTACCTGTGTGTCATCGGCGATTCATCCCAAATGATCAACCTTGTATGTTCGATGAGCCTCGCCAACGGGCTTCCAGGCTTTATGTGGCATGTTGAATCTTCTGTTGCATCCAGTGGAATGGCGAATCTGGAGTGTGCGGTCCTTCCTCCCGGTAGAAGCAGTGATGCAATACCGCTAGATGCCACATTGAGTACTATTTGCCCCTTGGACCTGAGCGCCGCTGACAAAGTCCGCCACAAGTATGTTTTTCCAGTGCCACCGTATCCATACACGAAAAACACACCGCCACTTTTTCTGTCTACAGATTTCAAGATTTCCTCATATATAGCATGTTGCTCATCATTCACATCAACCATCAAACTTTCATGATCCTCACTCAAAGCACATTTATCATATTTCATTTCCTCATTAATGAGAACATCTTCCATCGAAGGCATGTATGAGTCAGGAGGCAATGGCATTCCAATAAAGTCACGTAATGATCTTCCTCGTGACTGGAGAATTTTCTCTATCTCCACCAAACAATATTTCTCTATCTCTTCATCATCCATTTCGTGCTCTACAAAAAATATTAGCCATATTAGGTATGTGATTTACATTCTACATTACCTATTAAATCATAAAAAGTCAAATTCCAAGTGAGATACTTTTAATTGACTATATCAAAATCCACATATACCTGGATCATTCAGTGTCCTTCTCATATTGTACAATATGTCTTCTGAGAAATACTGGCGGCATTTCTCCCATACCAAGTCCGCCTTTGACAGTGCGCCCGCAATAAGTAGAGTGACAAACACTTTGCGCAATGAAGGTGCGGTTGACCATAGACCTGCCTCGGTGATTGCATGAATGTAATCATTGTCGTCTAAAAGCAATCCCCGAGCAATCCTTGTCTAAACGTGGGATATAATATGCCGCCAACTGTTTTTAACCCCTCAAAACTTCTTGGTCCCTTTACGCAGTTTAATAAGGTACATAAGTAGTATTTTTCACCTGCTCCAGTGCGAACAAAAGTATACACAAATCACAATATATGTAAACACAAAAACAAAATCACATGGGTACGATAAATATAGGATAATCTCACTGCACATTCTAAAAATCTCACCTTCATCGTTAAATCTCAATTGCTATATTGAGAGGCTTAATAAACTCTAATTTTTTAAAACTGAACCAAACAACATTGAACTTCAAAAACATTTTAGTTTGATTAAGAACAGTGTTAAATCGAAATTAATATACCCATGGGTGAATAATGATTATTTTTTACCTGCTCCAGGGCGAACGAAGTAGACACGTCCAACCGCAAAACTTCGCTGTCTTTCCACCCACTGTTTAATTTTTTTCTTCCACACAAATTTGCTAGGGAAGTCCACATATGTCAACTTTCTGGCCTCGGGGTAGACTTGATTTGCTCTCATCCATGCAGTAAATTTTGCCTCATGAATCATATGATTCGATAGGACGTCTTGGACAGATTTATCTGCACTATAATACACATTTTGCTCGCCGGGCAGATGAAAACTAAGATGCTCAACTGGCACATCCCTATAGTGTATGTGGAATCCGAAAATCCTCCAAGCAGCCTCGCAAGCAGAGATGTACCGACAATCATAGTACATATTGATCTCATCGATTATTTGCTGCTTAGAGCTATCTGCCGCCTCAGAGAATGCGATTGTGATTCGGTCATCACCTTTATTGATGTATTTGAATAGATACTTCACCGCTCGTGACTGGTTGCACCATTCAACATTAATGTGTGCACCATACTTGAGCAACAAATTACGGTTGTGCGGCACTACATATCTATTGTCTAGATGACAATCATTCTTCACGATGCGTCTTTCATTGTTCCTCTGCTTGTAGATAGGATATCCACTTTTATCCATTTTAGTGCGTTCGTTGAACTTCTTTGGAAAATGCTTCGTGCATTTACCTTTATCCATACACGGCGAAGACTTGTTAAGATGGCCGCAAGGTCCATGGATCATAAACTCTTTGACCGCATTGTAATGAGCAGGGTCTGAACACTCATCTGGAATCTCAGCAGATATGATTTTGTCAATATCTGAGGCACACGTAATTCCTTTCTTCTGAGACAGCCACAAAACTATGTGGGCATGCGGCAAACCACGCTTCTGAAATTCCACTGTATATACAACTACACATTAAATGGAAGAAATTTAATTTCTCGCGTTTAGAAATATTTTAAAAAAACATTTATGGATGGTAACCAAGGTATATAACTTGTGCAAATAAATCACGTCGGTATGTAATGTTTTGACATTCACGTACCTGCTTTGACGTCCCCAAACAACTTATTTTGTTTTAGATCTTTAATGAGCAAATCCAACTTGATTTTAAAGATCCTACAAAGGATGTCTGGGCGATCCTCTGGATGGAGCCCTCTGTTCTCAACGAAGCGAATAATTTCTGGCCATCTCGGATTGCAAGTGAATGTGATGAAAAGTTGTGGATACCCTGCCCATCGGCATATAGCCATAGCGTCTTGGTAATTTTGCATCATGTAACGCGCACTACCAATGAACGTAGGAGGAAGAACAATAAGTTGGCCCGTCCTAGATGCATTGGTTTCCCCTCGAACAACAGCATCTGCTAAACCGCTGTACAATTCACTTCGAATCTCTTTCTGATGGAAACTTATGTATTGCAATCGAAATGACTCGATCATTGTGTATCCATCAACCACAAACTGCTGAAACAACCTTCGACATCTCAATAGATATGGGGTTTCACCCTTGCGTTCCTGCAACCTGTATGAATAAAAATCTTTCATAGTAACAAATTTTCTTCCTCCGTTGATATTGCTATCCTCTATTGCACGTGTCAACAGAACGTCTTCTCTAAAGCCATCTTGACCGTAAGGAAATAGTAGTGGGTATTGTAAGCCTAAAAAGGAAGGGTTCAGTTCAGTGACAAACTGAAATGCCCCAGATTTTGTTTGAAGGACAACATCTCTCTCTTTTCTATTCACGTCAAAGTCCCCCTCAATTAAAGCCGCTACTTCAGATACGCTTGGAGTATTATACGTGCGTCCCTCTGAACTCCTTTTCCCAATAAGTCTCATTTTCAACGTCGTGGAGTTTGATGCATTAAATCTATCCCTTGCCATCCTAAATGACTGTGCATGAACATTGTACGTGTCAAGCATATGTGTCAACTCCGACACCAATGCGTCATGCAATTTTGTACCACCCTCACTCCTGTATTTGAAGGTACAAAGTACATTTTTTCATAAGAGATTAGCATTAATTATAAGTTTAACCATATAAAGATTGTCATAATAATTAACTAAATAAAATTAATGGAACCGTCTTATTATTTTATAAAAAGTTTTCTAAAATTTTGAAATTAAAAACAGTATTTTTAATGAGTAAAAATAAATTATTCCAATTAGTTGAGTCGATATCATCATATGAAATTAACATTATGTATTACCTCCGTTCTTAAATAAATGCCACATGTTGAATTTTACACTATTCACATGTTCTATTTTGACTATGTTTTATATATTCATTTATTAATATATATTTTTGAAAAAATATTGTTAAATTTGTCTAATCGTGAATTTTCAAAATCTAATTTTTTAAATTTTTTAGTGATAGAGAATTATTATTATAGTCAAAGTTGACTCGGCAAATGTGAAATGTTGACCGTTGCATTTATTTAAGAACGGAGGAAGTATAAGTTAAATCATATAAAGCTTGTCATTATAAAAAAAATTAAAACTTCATGGAACCAACTTATTATTTATTTATAAAATTCTGAAATGTTGAAGTTATCAATAATATAACTAAATGGGTAAAATTATTTAATCAATCGATTTACCTGACAGCTTTAAGTCTATTTGAAGTTTCTTCACTTGGATCACATAAATACATATGTAAAAATTTGGGTTGACCACCGTCCCTTGGAAGAAGGCTACCTATTCTATGGTAGTTTTGTCCATTTATTCGAAATATTGGTGGCGTTTTCCCTTGATTGATGTCTTTGTCTTGTTTTCCTCCCATAGAAGTGAATGCAAACATTGCATTATATGAGCGGATGTTTTCGAGAAAATGACGGCTACGCTCGTCAGAACCAAATATCAAACTTTTTAAAGGTTCAGGTGGCTCTTTCATTGCAGGCAGCACAACATCTCCTTGATTACAACACAGGGAGAATCTTGGCGGTTTTCCTGCAGGACTTTTCTTTACTCTTTCTTCGTACCAAAACAAAGCACCACAAAACTCACACTCATAAGATGAGTCCCCAAGATCTGCATAGGCTGAAAAGATTGGAATATAAATTGCTACACATAAGTCGCAAACCTAGTCATGTGGTTGTTCAAGGATTCAATTGTTTGACTCTTTAGTAATATGTTATATTGCACATATAATATAAATATTTTTTTGGAAAATATATGTATACACGTTCAAACTTGCATAATACCTTCACTTAAACAACTCGCATATTCAGCATCTTCTGTATGTCAAGATCATGGAAAAACGGCATTATCATTTTGTGACAATACACACACACACGTATATATGGTGTGTGTGCGCGCGCAAATGCTATTTATTGAGAGTGTAAGGTTTATATTGGTTTATGCATGTAATGTACAATTAAATTTAATGTTGAATTACGAACCATGGAATACAGGTTGCTCATGTGAGGAGGCACCAATAACATCGTTTTGATCGTCCTTTTGGTTGGCTTCTATACAGTTTGGAATTCACAAAATTATTATGCATTATATTAACATCTATCAATGATGTTTTAATTTACTTAGATCTTAGGAAAATAAGTTAAGAAAAAAAATCTAACCTTCATTAGTAGCATCACCATTAAAATCCTCCGTGTTACTTGTGATCGAGTAATGCATGTCCCCATAACCGTGTAATTGCATGATGATGCTTAACACATGGGAGGCTGCCACATATCTATTGATATGGAGGGGCTACCATTAATGATAAATGAGTTGTAGGAATAATCTTAATAGTATTGTGATGCTAGTTAAGGATTGCCTTAAATGTGTTAGAATCAAACTCAAGGTTTGAGTTTGTTTGTGATGAACTTGAATGAGATTCAAGTGTCAATTGTGAAATCATGGAGTAGGAGATCTATGGTGTGATTTTATGAAGTAGGAGATCTATGGTGCGATTTTATGAAGTAGGAGATCTATGATATGATTACATGAAGTAGGAGATCTATGATGC